GAAAACATTTTCAATAATGAATATACTTCTGAAATAAATATAAAATATTATTAAAAACGTTCTGTGTTGTCACATAAAATTCTAAATTGTTTTTGAGGAATGATTAACGTGATTAATTAGATATAAGAAGATGTGGTATGAGTGCCAATGAGACAACTCTCCATCCAAGTCAAAATTTATAAAAGTAAACCATTATAGTAAAAGTACGGTCTTCAAGTCTGATATGATAAAACAAGGCGATGAAACACATTCATTCAAGCACACTTAAATGTCAAAAGGTTCCTTTGATATACAAATCTATATAAATCATTTGATGTATAGGTTTGCTAAATTTGTAATATGTCGAATCCATAAAATATAAAACGCCTATCTAGATTATCTACAGAACAAAACATTGATGTCCCATCAAAAGAAAAATCTACTGATCATTCCTGAACAAAAATATTTTTTTAATCGTGCTCCATACTCTTACAAAATGAAAATAACATTTAATGAATTGTATGCGTCCGAAGCGATATTCTGGATTTACCATTATCAAGAAAGCGCATAGCCACAGAAAAGAAAGTCAAGGATACACAAGTACCGAAACACTCGAAGAGCAACATGACCAAAAGAAAAATGAGTGTCTTTCTATTTCTAGTTTGCCTTTTAACATGGTCAGTTCAGTTACTGCTCACTATTCTATACCATTACCTATCATTGGTTGATCTGTTTTACATTACAGCGTTTGTCATTTGTCTTCGACCTTGGGGGTGGGAGTATTTCTTTGGAGGAGGTTTGTCCTTGGAGGTAGGGTGTGTTGATAGTTAAAATCTTTTATGTTTTCTGCTATTTATTTTGCTTAGGATAAAAACTGAAAGTTGTCACATTGGCTATTATGCCACATCTTCTTATTTTACTTTGACCAAATATGAACTCAACTTTACCAAGTATGAACTATATTTAATCGGGCTAGGTCATTCCGACCATTGCTTAGGGTAAAAACTGAAAGTTGTCCCATAGGCAATCATGCCACATCTTCTTATTTTACTTTGCCAAATATGAACGGAACTTTAACAAGTATGAACTATATTTAATTGGGCTAGGTCATCCCGATTGATGAAACTATTCGTAGAAAATTTTTGCTCTGAATTCTTCGACTACTAGAAACTAAACAAAAAGCCATCATTTATCACATTTGGGAGACAACAGACATCTGAACAGATATACGATATTGAATGTTTATAATAATATGATTGCGCACTATTGAAATACAATAATTGTTGATTTAAAACCACACAAAACGTCAGCGTAGAGATATAGTGTTGAGTTTAATATATTGAGGTGAAACACCAGTTTTGTTTTGTTTTTTTTTAAATCTTGCTATGCATCTATTGTGATGGAAATCATTGAAATTTGAATCTTACCAACAGTTTTTTCTCTCTCAAAAACAAGCATTTATATAGTAAAAAGTATATCATAATTAACGATAATCTGTTCTGTGAATTAAAGGCTTGTACCAAACTTAAATCCTGCATCCGAGCTTTAATATATGATTCTACTAGTTAGTTAATCAGCTACATGTAGACTTTGTGGATTCTATCACGTTTCAAGTTCATATCTGCGACCTCACTGTCATAATTATGGCGAATACAAAAGACCTCTCAAGCTAACGCGGTGTAATGAATGCACGCCAGAGAACCTATATTACAGCTTGTACAATTATAAGTGCAATCTACATGACGGTTCATTAACATTATGGCCTTACATATTCATTATAGGTGTATGAACCCTTTTATATAAATGGTTTTGACAGTAATGAGTTAGCAACTACTTTCTTGAGTGACAATAATTCATACGTCCACCTACAACAACTTGCATATGTATGAAATTATGTACGATGCAAGTAATTTTAGAGAATTCTGATGACAAAACATTATCTGTTTCCAAAATTGAACCATCAACATAATAGGTATGTGCTTTGTGAGGACGCTCTGAATGAATTTATCTCCGCTAGAAAAAGTTCTGATAAGTAATAATGTTGAAAAAGAAATAAAAACCAAAACAGAAATATTATCTCTTTTTTTTCTGAAAATCACTATGTTACTTATTCTATACATTTTTCTGCTTTCTACATCTCATGGGAACACGTCAATTCTCTGCATATTCTAAGATGGAATATGTTATGAGAACATGTCAATATTCCGTTTACGAAGGTACGCGAATATGTCATGAAACATGTCAATATTCCATATACGAAGATAGACAAATGTGTCATGAGATACGTCAAGACTATGTAAACGAAGATAAAACAAATATGTCAAAGGAACACGTCATTACCTCGTACACGAAGAGATACGAATGTTTCATGGGAACACGTGAATACTCCTTATACGAAGTTGAAGAATGAAGTAAAACAAGAATGTGCCCATAGTACATGGATGCCCCACTCGCACTATCATTTTCTATGTTCAGTGGACCGTGAAATTAGGGTCAAAACTCTTAATTTGGCATTAAAATTAGAAAGATCATATCATAGGAAAAATGTGTACTAAGTTTCAAGTTTATTGGACTTCAACTTCATCAAAAACTACCTTGACCAAAATGTTAACCTGAAGCGGGACAGACGGACGGACGGACGGAAGAACGAACGGACGCACAGACCGAAAAACATAATGCCCCTCTACTATCGTAGTTTGGGAATAAAAATACCTGATTATGGAGATATTATACACTTATGTGTAACAATCAAGACGACCAAACCTACTGAAGGTGGATAATTAGGACAGTGGATGGATGTGCTTAAAACTTTTAAGATGTTGCAAGTGATAGCTGTTAAGAAAATGCTTGAAACTTAGAACAATCAGGAAAACTACAAAGAATGATGTGTGAAAAATATTAACGATTCTCTGAGAAAATAATTTCCCATGAATGTATTATCTATGAGCAACAAAAAGATAGGCATGTTTATATGAAATACATGTCGATGTTGTAATGCGTTTTGCTTGTGAGACATTTAAAGTAAATCATTGTGCATGTATCATCAGTTTAACGGTAAAATTACAGAGTTAAACAAATGACTTAAACAGAAATGTAGTTGCAGTTTCAAAATAAGTTTTAAAGTATGTACATGTAGACTCAGGATTATTTAGAGCTTCACATGCTAGACACATATCTATTGTTTAAGACTGAATGGTACCCTCTAGAAGTCCTTTTGTTTTTTCCTCGGGTTGCTGTCTCATTGAACTTTACCCCACATCAACTTTTATTCATACACAAAATAACACCCATCCAGCATAGAACAAAGAACGAGACTGGACTGGTACCCGTATGGTTACTGAAGCCAACTATGCATTCTGATATACTCAACTGTTATTCTATGTATGTGTTCCCAACGCAATGGTGTTCCTTCATGTGTATGATACCTTGATCATGTTGATAAATATCAGAGAATATCATATTTATTCATACTGCAGAATGACGGGTGCTAAATGAGCGTTTGTGTTTTTTATTAAAAAGATGTTACCGTCGGGAGTTTTCTTACTTAGTATAAAGTCAATCTTTCGTTATCTTTTCAGCTTTATTTTAGATTAAAATGATACATGTGGGACGTCGTTCGTGTATAAGATTGGTTTGATATGTTTTTTATTCAAAATCAGCTGAAGAGAAAAGTACATTTTCTAACACACATTAGTATAAAAAAGGAAGACGTGGTTTGATTGCAAATGAGACCACTCTCCAACATAGACCAGACGACGTAGATGTTAGCAACTAAAGGTCATCATGAGGACTTCAACAATGAGCAAAACCCTTAACGCATAGCAAGCAATATGCATTGTTACCTTTTACGAAAATTTAGTTGACAACTAAAAGTACATTTTTCTATGTTCACTTGTTTCACACTATTCTATTTCCTCTAATGAATAAGTTTTTTAATTATTTTGATACCGTCTGTTTTCACAATTTGATTTCAGCGTATGCCTATCTGAAAATCACTAGCTATTAAAAGGAAACCACAAAACATCGTTCTGCTGTTGATGTGGTCGTGATAAGACTTGATATCGCAGTGTTTTTGTATAAAATAAACAGCTTGGAAATATAATATTACAATTATCAAATCTCTAGACAACCTGATAAAACTTATAAATATAAAAACCAAATCCTAAGTATTGATAAAATATAATAAATGTTCTCTGAAGTCAGTGACCTTAAAACCTTTACCTCGCTGCGGATAATCGGACGAGTGAATACTCTAGCTGTACATGCTGATCTATTCTTTATCATAGAGCCTCGCTGTGGATAATCGGACGAATGAATAGTCTAGCTGTACATGCTGATCTATACTTTATCATAGAGCCTCGCTGTGGATAATAGGGCGACTGAATAGTCTGGCTTTACATGATGATCTCTATATTCAAGTGACCTTAAAACCTTTACCTCACTGCGGATAATCGGACGAATGAATACTCTAGCTGTACATGCTGATCTCTATTTTATCATAGAGAAAAGAATTTTGATTCATCCATATATACACTTTACTATGTAAAAAAAAACCTGACTGGCAAATCTTGTTTGTTTTCAATTTACCTTTCAATGCTGATAATGGATAGGAAAAAAAAATATTTCACCTTTCTATTCTCAATTCGACAGCGGATCTACTTCCGTTTCATAAACAAAAAGGTCGACTTTAATAAAGCACATTGCTACATACATGTAGCAGCACAATACACATATCTCTTCATTAGAATTTGTGAAACAGTTATTAAGCATTTCCTGCTCTCCTTATTGGACACGTCACTCACTCTAACAAGCCACTTAATCACAGTGGGTTTTTTTTATTATATAAGTTATTATTATTTCATTTTTTTTTTATGTCAAGTACCTTCTTTGCAACTTTTTTTTCCCTACTCTTTTTATTTTATCGTCTCCCTGCGTGTCATTTTGGATCTTTAAAGTGGTTGATTCTTTATGCAAATGCTTATTATTGAGCAATTTTCAATGAAATATGGTTTATTTTACAGATGCTACAAAGCTGACTGTGTACGGCGACAGCAGCAGTATTAGATCACGTGGTACACGCCATACGGACCGTCGTCTAATCTCCGAAACTCAGATTCAGTACATCAACAGAAATGTATTCCGGGACAGCGTGTCAATCAAAGAAATTATAATGTCCGGAAACAACATCGCTATAATGTATCCCTCAGTATTTCACTACCTCCGAAGTCTCCAAACCTTGTCTTTAACGAACAATAATATTCGCCATTTGTCGGCAGCAGTATTCAATGGACTCGGGAATCTTCAGGAACTGCGATTGTCGGACAACATGATAAAGTTCTTACCCTATACGGTATTTACATACCTAACGGAACTCAAATCTTTATATTTGAACGGGAATAAAATAAAAATGTTGCCAAGAGACGTGTTGAAACCACTCGTTAATCTACAGGTTCTTGATTTGTCACGTAACAATATATCAGACTTTTATGATGCAACGTTTGATCAAAACGTTAACTTACAAGAACTTTTACTAAACGGAAATAGACTTTGGAAAATTCGACCAAGATGGTTCCAAAACCTTTATTCACTTCGAAGTCTTTCATTGAGAGGGAATGCCATTGTTAATGTTCCAGCTAAGTCCTTCGCTAATTTATTTAATCTTGAGGAATTACTACTTTCCGCCAATCACATTGAAGAGATAGAAAACGGTGCTTTCAATAATTTACGTGATTTAAAAAGCTTAGATTTATCTACAAATGATCTTCCTGAAATCCGATCATCCTATTTGAATGATCTCGATTCTCTATCTGAATTATTTTTATCCAATAATAAATTGGTGCAGATTAAGAATGGAACATTCGATTTGATTCGCTATTTGAAAAAATTAGATTTATCTCGGAATGACATCAGCACTATTGAAACAGGGACATTCTCATTACTAAGACAACTTCAAATATTAGATTTGTCGTATAATAAAATGTTGAAATTTAAAAAGGGAATCGCATATGGAATTGAGAACCTAGAGGAGCTGCATCTTGATAATAATTTCATAAGTATGATAGGCGATGGCGCTTTTATGACTTCAAATGTCGAAAGATTGTCCAAAATGAAACTTTTGAACTTAGAACAAAATAACATAAAAAAGATAGATGCTCAAACATTAAAAGGAATGCCTAGACTAAAAACACTGAAGCTCGGAAATAATAACATAAGGAAAGTTCACCCTCAAGCAATGGCAACGTTTATCTACCTTGAAACTTTAACATTGAACAATAATAAATTAAGAGATCTAAACAATGGTATGTTTTCAAATCTACAAAATGTGTACTCGATTAATTTATCTAATAACAAAATAAGATCGGTCAGTGAAAATACATTTCTTGGGTTGGATAAATTAGAGGATCTTCTCATGTCAGGAAACAAAATAAATTCTATACATAAGCTTGCATTTCGAGCACTCCCTAGTTTGAGTTCTCTGGATTTGAAAGAAAATCGACTAGTAAGTTTTAATTTCTCATTTGTAACAAATATGGCACTGCTAACAATAATGGATCTGAGTAAAAATCATTTATTCTGGATTGATATACCACCAGGAGCCTATCTACGTCTTAAAGACTTGTTATTGTCGAACAACAATTTACAGACATTAAGTTCAAACATCAAACACTTAATGGGTCGTTCATCTATTTTATCTTTGGATAACAATCCATGGGATTGTGACTGTCAACTGAAATGGGTAGTGCAGCCTTTAAAGAATGTCAGATTAGATACGTCAAATGATGCTATGTGTAAATCACCTCCAAAACTTCATGGTACAAAGGTAAATACTTTATGTATAACAATACTTTCCATATAACAATTAAGCTTTATAGTTGATATGCACTCAAATACATGTTGAGTTTGAATGAAGTTAGAGTGTACCGATTTTCAAAAGAGGTGTGGAAACTTATCTCGGATAGAGATTCTGCTCAGACCTAGAGGTGATTCGAGTGCCACTGCAAAGTCTTACGTAGACAAATTGTGCGTATTGCGTACTAAATTACAAGGCTTTAAATCGCTGAGTATTTGCACATGTAGCGAATAGTGAACTTTTGCTCCATGCTGAATGGTCTAATGTGAGTTTGAGAAAAAGATCCATTATGAAAACGTTATTCCTTTGCTTTTGTCAATTGAGTTTTGTGATTACCTGTGATTAATTCATTCACCGTCTTCAGATGGTGACCATATCATGTTTAACATGTAACTGATAATTTAATATGTTATAATTGTGTGTATATAGCGGCCTACCATTCGTCCTTGTTGAAACCTGACTGTTTCGATCTTCGGTAAGGCTCGTGAAACTTACCCTGTAAGAAATGTCTAATAACCTAGTCTTGACTCAAACCACTTTATGATAGTCTGAATTTAGAATCTTTACTTGTAAAATAACAATTGTTTTTATCAAAACTGCGGTCGCCAGAATTTATTTAATGGTCGTTAACTGATACTTCAATGACAACTTGTTTTGTTGTAGTTCTCGGAACTAACTGATGGAGATATGACTTGTAACCAGAACGTTAACACCAGTCATGATGTCACTCTGATGTGTAAAGATGGTGTGTTTAGTAAAAGACCGATAGCTAGACGACGGTAAATAGTACTATATTATATTTTCCAAAATAAATTATACATTTGGTAATTTTTGCATTAAAAAAAATTGCTGAATGAAGCAAGTCAAAATATTGTTTTTAGATATTTCTAGCTATCAATCCTGCAAAAACTGTTCTATGAATTTCAAAGTAAGTTTGTAATTGATATATGTGACAGTTTGTAACCTCAGTTGATTAGCATAGATTGAAATGGAAAATATATGTTTGCTTAATGTTCAGTGGCAAATATTTCATGTATAGTAAGAACGAGATCAAGCAAACAAATAGTACAATAGGGAAGTTCTGTCAAGGGCGTGAACTCTGGATTGGCCACCTTCAGATCCCTTAAAGATTTGTTGCTAGACTTTTTTAACGTGTAGTGAGCGTGACAACCTCTGTATACAAAGCACTAGATTTATCATCCCCATTTCGACAAGACAGGGAAACTGTTGAGTATTTATACATCTAACACAATAAAAAAGGGACGATATTCCTGAACAATGTTTTTACACTTATATCTCCTTGCAAAGTACGAATCTTAAATTATGTAAGGCATATGCCACTTAATTAAATTATTGATAACTTTACTTTCAAGAACTGAGAGAGAACGTAACATTGATTAAATAAACATACTTTCTTGATGTAAATCATAAATTTTATAAAGTAGACATTGGCAAAGGTACAAAGAGGTATTGTCCTGTCTTGGCTTATATTTCTATGTCAAATTCACTTTGATTACATAATTATATAACTCAGTTGGCCAATGTGATAGTATTCCCGTCATTAATTTACATGAAAAGCTTGGTTATACACTTAATCAATCCGTTAGATCATTTAATTCTTAACAGAAAAATGTGAGAGTATTCCAAGGCAGATGTGTGTCGCTTGCCGTCTCCAAATCGTATTAGCAGAAATGGTGAAAATGATAACCAATAACATAGTTGTATTTCCATTTTGGTGTACAAACGATGAAACAATTTAGATTCTGAAACTGTGATTGTCTAATTTCAAAGTGTTCCCCGTTTACCAAAATGATAAAACTTCTAAATATTTTTATTTTTTCTATGAACCGCCTCGGTGGTCTCGTGGTAGCGTGTTCACCTCGAGTGCGGGAAGTCGTGGTTTTGAATGTTTGAATCCCGGCCGTGTCAAACCAAAGACTTTAAAATTGGTATTTGCTGTTTCTCCGCTAAGCACGCGGCATTAAGGAGTAAGAGCAAATACTGGTCGGCTCGGAGTCAGAATAATGTGTCCAGGTAAAATGACACGTCTTCCTGTGGACTGTTACCTTGTGAACTAGCACGTTAAAAATCCTGCTCAGCGTGTCGGTCTAGTGCAAAGCAGGATTAATGTTCATATTACATTAACATGTTCTCGTTCCGAATATGCATATTAAATTGCCACTGGACGTAAAGCATCCATCTATCCATCCATTCCCATCATCATCTTTTTTCTATGGTGGTCGATTAAGGCCATTTCGTCTGTCATACTCTATAGGGGGAAAATGCGAAAACGCAAAATGGTTTCACTTCTCGTTTTCGCGATTTCGCGTTTTCGCAATTGTCAATTACTGCCCACTTTTGTCAATCATTTTGTGACTTTTATCTGATTGGATAATGATTAACAATTTGAAGATAACCTGACTGGATAGTATTATTTTCAAGTACAATTATTTTTTTTAAATATAAAGGGGTAGTTATTGAACTACGCGAAAACGCAAAATCGCGAAATTGCGAAAATCCGAAAGCGAAAACGCGAAAACGAGAAGTGAAACCATTTCGCGTTTCGCGCTTTCGACTTCGCGTTTTCGCCCTATAGATTATGAAAGGCGAAATGGCCTTAACCGGCCATCATATATATACGTTTCACTATTTGTGTACACAAAAAAATAACACGACTTGCTAATTTTATAATAACAGATTCATTTGATTTACACGAAAAAAGCAACCGTTGATAATGACGAATATCCCAGGATTTTATGGAAAATGACAACCAACCTTTTGTTTCTTTATACAAAAGGTAATAAAGTGCTAAGCTAATATTTGTAGTATCACAATTTAAAAGATGTCAGATCTTAGAATAAAAATACTGCTATGATAATCATAAACAATCATGAAGAAGATCATATTCGATACTACGTTAACAAATATTTTGTGTTTGTACGACAAGACCTATAATACAAACAGTTTTAATTCAATGATACGGCCTATACAAATATATGCCATGCTTTCTTTTTCTACTTTTATGAATGAATAAGAGGAGGCATGAGATTTAGGTCAATGAAACAGTATCCCAACAACTCCAACACATATATCTCAAAGTCTACATAAGTCCAAGAAACTGTTTAAACTATTTGTCAAGTCAGGCTAATAGGCCTGAGACTGGGGTGTCATACAGTTGCCCTTTTCTGGTGAATCATTCACACTTTGTGTAGAATGTCCGAACAATTTACACTGCATGTACATTTTCTTTGTCAAAGATGTGCTGTTATGTTACTGGGTCGTTGACAAGAACCCCCTCATCTGTTTTTTTTTTTTTTCATTCTTAACATGTGTTTTCATGTTCCTGTCTTATTGCCCTTTTGGTTCTATCACCGTCGTGATGTTTGACAATAACCCAAGTTATAAAACGCCTTTATCAAGGTCATAGTACTGCTTTAATGTTTTCTTCCTTCGGTTCACCTTAATGTACTTTTCAAATTATTATTATGTCTACCTATAAGCATCAAAGCATATTTAACTTATAAAAATGCACAAATAACGGTGAAAATGAAGTAAACGAAGATAATTAATAACCGTTACATAATAGCAAATCATTCAAAACTAATAAATATAACAAAACCAATAAAAATTAAGACGATATAAATGCAATGTTAGTTTTACCCAATAGCAGTTAATTGATTGATAACAGTCAAAATAATCTTTTAATGGAGTCATGGTTTTGTAATAAGTGATTAATCACACATGATTGTATATAATTCAACTAATGTTTTTTTTTCAACACGAGCACACTACTTACTATTCTTCCGATCCTACTGACAGACAGGATGTAAATAGAATACCTTGATAAAGGAGGTATTGACAATTCACTTGGAAACTCAACATATTCACCCAAGACACCTCCTAAAGAGGAAATCTCGATTAATCATACCAGTTCTGTTCTATGTTCCTTTGGAATTCCAACCAAAGATAAAGAACTAGACCTTCCTTCACTGTATTGGATACCTAATTAACATAATTGTCCTAAAAGCAACGCAATATTGGTGGGACTTCCAAGTGCTCCACGATACTTTTTTATGAAGTATTAATATCTATTTTATCAGCAAAGCCGTGGTTCAGAGTTATTGCGAAACTGCCAATGATGTGGATACTAAAACATTCCAAATATCTGTTAATGTACATAAAATATAAGTGACCTTCCTCTGCAAAAGTATAAAACATTTGACTATTCTACCCTTTACACAGGTATTCCTCATTTCAAACTAAAAGATTAGTCTTAATTTGTTTCATAAAAAAATAATGACCAACGTAGCTACAAGTGTCTTGTTTTAGGAAGGGACAAACCATCATACTTTGTAAGAACCACTCGGATTCAAACTAAAAAAAAATAAATCTGAAACTTACATTATCAAGATGCTTGATATTAAATCAAGGGTTCCAAGTAGTGAAGTTAAAGTCATTCCTTCAAAAAATGTTACGGACACCATCACGAGTTGCTTGACCGTTATGGAATATCTGTTTCACAGATGAGGACTGATATGTTCAAATTGTTGTAACCATATTCCTGTTCTCTTTTCCTCGAATGTGACATCACCGAGTAACACTCTTCAAAGAGTTTGACATACATGAGCAACATGACGGCTACCACTAGTTGAGCAGGATCAGCTTACCCTTCCAGAGCACCCGAGTCCAGTCCTGGTTTTGGTGGTGTTCGTGTTGCTCAGTCTTTAGTTTTCTATGTTGTGTTTTGTATACTGTCTTTTGATCGTTTCTCGTTTTTTGCCATGCCATTGTCAGTTTCTCATCGACTTATGAGTATGAATATCCCTTTAGTATCTATCGTCTCTATTTTACTTACTATCATATACATATATACATTGAACTTCACCCACTACACTTCATGACTGTTCTTTTCTTTGCTTTAATTTTATATGAAATCATACTCCCTCATAGTTTTAGTTAGCTGTGGGAGTCTAATCGTTGGTCCTACCCTTCAAACAATTCATTTTACTAGTGTTGTAACTATGGAAGTCCAATTGTTAGTCAGACGATTCCGATAATGCATTGTTCCAGTCCTTTAACTATGGTAGCCCAGTCGTTAGTTAGCCGATTCCGATAATGTACTATATCAGTCTAGTAACTGTGAAAGCCATATCGTTCGTTCGTCCATTCCGATAATAAAATTTATCAGTATTGTAAAAATTGAGTCCAATAGTTCGTCTGGCGATTACGAAAATACATTTTACCAATGTTGTCCATTTATTAAGTGTTCAGATTATAACTGACATTTAAACCAAAAAAGAAAGAAAGAAAGAAAGAAAACCATGAATAAACGGCCATTCAAATTTTAGGACACGAGAATATAATAATCTATTTTAACACTGTATATGATACCATGTTATATTCTAAGACCATGACCAGTACTATTTCATTAATTACATGTATTATTATTTACAGGTCAGTTGGGAAGGAAATGATGAAGAAACACGTGACAGTCTATAGGAACCGTGGAGATTATGTCGTTGATGGTGTTATGTTGACCCCAGATTGGGCTTTGGTACCTGCAGGTGCCCTGAGATACCTTTCCGATGCAGATATACACGTCAAAATAGGACGTGGTAAAACGTCCTATAAAATATCACACATAGTGGTACATCCTCTACTGTCACTTGGTATGCAGCAATTTAACGTTGCTCTTTTACGTCTAGTTCAAAAGAAATCGTCACCTCTTATAGATCATCAGTGTATTATTGCAGAAAAACAATTCAAATCGCTTTCACAAGTTTTACCTGTTTTCTATGTCTCAATTCGATTGGATGGGAAGAAACCAAAAACTAAATTAAAAATAAGAAAGGGTAAAGTTAATCACAAATGTGCTAATGACCAAGATTATATCTGTGGTATACTCAAAGGAAATAAAAAAGATGTTATAACATCAGTGGATGGATCTCCACTGTACATAGGACACTCTAGTAACCTCCGACTTGCTGGCCTCGGAACACATTCATGGAGTAACCAAAAAAGTCAGTATATATTCATTCCTCTATGGACTATTTCGGACTGGGCTGATGATATCATGATAGAGTTTAACGAGAAATGTAAAAAAAATAATAAAAGTGGTAAACTCTTTTGTAAAGAACTAAAATTACCTTCAGCAGACGAACTTTACATGAAAATTCATAAAACGGAACAGCACTGAGACTCGTCTACAATTATTGAGACCCTGGATTATATCGAAAAGCGATTATAAGTTCGAGGTTGTGATTTAATATATACCAAAGAAATAAGGAAATAATCCAGTACGTTAGATTACCTAAACTGTTATTGTTAGTATCCAGTCAAGTTCCTCTTTGATTCATTGAAATATAAGATCACAGAAAACCAACAGTTATAAGGGAGATAATTTTGTGTCCTAATTTTAGTGCCATATTTTATATTGATAAAATCCTGACATTATTGTATGTTGTAGCCTAAATCAAACGTAATGAGAATCTCAACGAAAAAAAACAATGTCAAGTTCAAAAATAATTTAGGAAAAATTACTTTTAATTATCCTGCTTCTTAGTTTGTCTGATATGTATATAGAAGATGATGTATAATTTAAACTTACCAATACGATATGTGCGTCTTACATGAAAACTATTATCAGAAAGACTATTTAAAAGGCAAAATAACATACTCTTATGTTAAAGGATACGAACAATCTTATGTACAGGTCTGAGCATGAATACGATTGAAATCAATGTATCAATTATCTCAAATGATGACACGGTTCAGAACATGATTATAGTACTGTGGATTCATTTATTTTCGTGGGTATCAATTTTTGTGGAAAGAGAAAGGCATTTCGTGGTATACGTAAATTCGTGGATCGCTGTCTCAAACAAAAATGTTTCAGGTACAAAAATTAGTGGATCTCTGTTTGAATAATCAATAAATCAAAAGATAGAAATTCATTGAAAATAGTTTGAATTGTCATAATCGTCGCTCGGTCATTCTAGGTTAGAGTGTTCATTTAAACCTTTGATTACAAGCGTGGACAAAGGTAACTAACTATTTGTTTGTTTTACAATTGATAATTTCTTGTTAAAATTTTGAAAATATGGTATTTAAAGCCCTTTGATGTACAACTGATTGAGCTATTTTAAGCAGTCATTAAAAAATGATCAAAAGTAAGAAACACGCTTATGATTGGTTAGACGAAAAAGTTGATTGACATGTTGTCAAGTTGTTCATCTGTCTTGTTTAGGTATAAATAACTCCCATCATCGGTAGCTTATTGAAGCGTAAGTGTATTAGTCTTCAAAATTTGTAGAAATGGTCAGTTCCTAAAGGATTTAGTACCTACCATTCTGTTTTTTTCCGGGGTTAACATAATCGAACATTGACGTTGAAATGAGGATAGGACCGGGAAGTGGAGATTATTTGTGGTCCTGTTCACCGTTTTTCTAGTTATCTGGTATAAGGTCACCACCTAATTTCTGCTTGGCGTTGTATATATGTGTGAACATTTTCCTACGTACAACACTTTAGCAGCATTCATTTAAATGATAGTTGTGTAAATATATTATCATGATTGTCTTTCAGTACATTGTATACTTGTTAATACCGTGTTATATTATAATGTCTTGTTATGCAGGTATTTTACTAATAAAACAGATTTTGTAACCATCTTCAATTATACTTTTTTGCTACAAGCACTACAACTGCAAAAAGATAATCTGTACATTGTAAATGCTGGTTTAGTCCACAAACAAATTAACACTAAATCCAAGCCAAGGTGTTTTAAAAGTCCAGATAAAACGAACATACTTCTAATTTAGTAGATGCATCTTTTCATTAATATAACACAAACCAAAAAGTCCGGGAAAATTTTTCATACTTCAAATAAACTCATCATAGATATCAGGCTTAGAACTTTGTACGCCAGACGCACGTTACGTCTGCAAAAGACTCATCAGTGACGCTCGAATAAAAGAGTCGGTCAAATGCGGTATCCGGATTTTTGTAAAATGTACACATTATGTACTTGTACGCTTTCATCCCTTTTAACATTTTGTACGTAAAGCATCAAATAAAATATGTATCCTTTTGACCATAAATAATTCTAAATTACAATTGAAGGCAAATTTTGAACGTTTGCTGTCTAGTTTAAATAATGATCTCCTGGCACAAAACATTTGTTAAACAGATTTATAAGCTGTATGCTATTATCTGTCTTAGACAAAAATGATGATGATATGTTACTTAACTTAAGACATTACATTATAAAGCCTTCAGCTAATTGTACTAAATAATTTTAATTCTTTCTTAAAATATATCAAGGTGATTAAAGAAGGAAACAAAGTGTGTAACTACAGAATATGTAATTTGTTTTGTATCAATTTGTATTACATTAGGTACGAATGACAGGAGATGTGGGGCCTACGCCAATGAGACAACGGGCTTATGCCAATGAGACAACGGGCTTACGCCAATGAGACAACGGGCTTACGCCAATGAGACAACGGGCATACGCCAATGAGACAACGGGCTTACGCCAATGAGACAACAACTCAACAACATGTTTTCCATACTTTTAGACATGTTTAGTCCTTTTAAAATCCGACATTAGTGAAGTTATTCCAGTTGTCAGTGTACAGAAAACCCAATATTCAACGAGTATTTTACATCGTATGGCGTCAAGGTATTTAAGCATATTAGACCAAATAAAACTGCATTTATTTGTTAATTTTGAGCCGAATTTAATGATATTGACATTTTAAATGTATACTTACAGTAGTAACATTTATTTGATAACATAAAATTGTTACGCCGTATCTGACTACCACCTATAAAAAGACCTACCGTTGATTGTCAAGTTAAAGACAAAAAGAGGTGAGATATACAAAGGGTACTTTCAAATCTAATATGAAGAATTTAAAGAACTCGCTATTTTTAATATATGCGTATTTTTTCTAGTATCTCATGTGATTATTGCCTTATCGCCATCCACGAATATCCTTTCCTGTTTTTTCGTCACTACCATTTAATGGAAAATATGTTTCATTTATGTAATGCCAAAAGTTTCATATAATAAAAATAATCAGTTAAGAAAAAGTGTAAAGCCAACTATCTTGATAGAAGAAATGTTTGACCCTACTGTCTGTACATACTTCACACGCTTTAAAAATTTTTCTACACAACTGGAGTGTAACAGTACACCAAAAACATAGAGATATATTTCACAGAATTCACTTTATACAAAGATGAAGTCATAGTACACCAGAAATACACAGGCAAATACCAAGGGGACTCTTTACATCACAGTAAAGTTACATACACCTGAAACACAGAGGCACATTTCATAAATGACTCAAAATACAACAGTGAAGTTACAGTACATTCGAAACACAGAGACACATTTTACAATTGACTCTAAATACAACAGTAAAGTTACAGTACATACGAAGCACAGAGATAAGACTTCCAATACAGTACACCAGAAACACTGAGGCAAAATTCATAAAACAGATAAGTTACATTACGCCAGGAAATCAGAGGGCACAATTCACAGAGGACTCTGAATACAACAGTTAAGTAACAGTACACCAGAAATATAGAGGTAAATGCCATAGAGGACTCAATATACAACAATAAAGTGATAGGTCACCAGAAACAATGATGCACATTTTATAACTGAACATCAGGTAGGGTACAGTACACCATAAACACTGCGGCACATTTTATAACTGAACATCAGGTAGGGTACAGTACACCATAAACACTGTGGCACATTTTCAAATGTATTTGAATACAATAGTAAAGTTACAGTACACCAGAAACACAGATTCATATATAACATAGGTCTCTGAATACAAGAGTATAGTTCTGGTACATTAGCATCACAGAGGCACAGTTGATACCGAACACGTTATACAACATCAATTCCTAGCATACATGAAACATGAAAGTACTATTCAATGGAGGAAACTGTTTACAGTAAATACTATCAATATATTTAATGAAGTTTGAAGTTAAAATATTTGATTATTATTTCCTCGATCGGCTCCCATGATTTTATTAATGTGGTATCAAATTCATTTATCAACGCATCTGCTTGATATTATTATCTTATAATCCATATCTGTACATGTTGCTGTAATAGACACAGGTGTTACTTTGAAGATATTGCAGGGAACCTTGCATGAAGAAAATAGATATATTTGAAAACTGATTAGAAAAAGTTAGAATCAAGTAATACATTTTCCTAAATCATTGACAATAATCATGCTGACAGAAGTCGACAGTTCTCTGAAGGAACTTTCTGACAGGTGTTTCCTGTCTTACAGTATCAAAGTAGCACTATAGTTAATATAGCATACACCATTTTATATTTTTGTCTGTTCATTAACTAATATACTGATCATAATCGATCTAATATTTGCACATGTCCCATTTATCATCGACTCTGTAAAGCCCGTAAATTAATAATCGATCAATATATATTAAGATCTTTGAATATTGTTTTATTGGTACTTCTAACTTTGATTGTGTTATAAATAGATTTAAACAGAACTAAATTGGTATTGCTATATAGCTATTAACAATTACGGTTATTTGGCATTGCACAAGTCATGTTTTCATGATAAATTGTTTATGACATCTTTCACTAAATCCATTGGCTGTGTACTGATTGATATTTTTTCTTGGGTACATGTTTATTTTATTAGTTGATATTGACTTTGAATTAGCTTTCATTAACTGCGAGCACTCTCAGATCAGTACTTTGTGTCTTTCGTGATTTTTTCTTGACTTAAAAGCGCACTAAAAATACATAGAAAAGAGAAGCGAGAAGATACTAAATACTCAATCAAAATCAAAAGTCGAAGAAAACCACTCAATATTTTTTGTAGAACGAAAAAAGACAAACGTCTCTTCACATTACACTACATCGAAAACTAGAAAGTCAAGGACATGTACTCTTGAATGTTTAATAGTTCTTTATCCACAAGTGAAAGCCGTCGTAATTATAATTAAACAAAAGAAGGAACGTTTTGATAGTTGTTCTTGTGCTTTGTATTGATCTGACGAGCCAAACCCATTTCAACTGTTTATAGTTTGTTATTATGTAGTGCTGTTACACCACTGTCCCATGTTAGGGGAGGTTAAAGTGCCCTCAAATATGTTTAACCCCGCCATATTATGTATGTGCCTGTCCCAAGTCAGGAGCCTGTAACTTAGTGATTTTCGTGTGTTTCTATATATCATATTTGTTTTTCGTTTATTGTTTTGTACACAAATCAGACAGTTAGTTTTTTCATTAGAAATATTTTACATTTGTCATGTCATGGCTTTTTATAGCTTGCTATGTGGTATGGGTTCTGTTCATTACTTTATTATCTAAGGCTGTACGGTGACCTTTAGTTGATAACTTCTCTGTGGTGTTGAATATATTATCTATCGTTGTCAAATAATCGAGTATTTCAACCAATGTCTAAATGTATTAATTACTTGTTGTTTTAGGTAAAGAACTTTATTGGCAAAACGCGAAAAGTTAACATGTTTGTATAGTTACAATGCATAAATATTTATTTAGTTACAACTTGTAACTAACATTTCAGACACATGTGTGTAACGGACGAAATATGTTTGTATATAATTGGATTAATTATCCATTAAACCAGGCAGACCTAGAACAAATCTTTGATTTAAGGAGACATTGTATGTTAATGGGGATAAATGGAAACATTTTACATACAATACGGTGCATTACAACATGGCAAGAAACAAATTACCGCCTAACTATCATGACATCAAAGCGATAACATGTAATTGTCGCTTAGTTGTAGAGATAATATAATTTAAGGGAAATGTAAGCAATCCGGTGTGAAGTATAAGTCTCTTCACTGTTAATACGATTCATTTATCTTAAAAGAATAAATGGGTTACATCAAACAATAACACTGATAATTTCTGATGTAGGTAATATAGATGGAATGTCTCGCACATATGTTATCAAGCCGAACCCGCGTAGAAGTTTGCAACTTTGATCTAGAAAGCAAAGTATTCCTACGAAAATAAGGGATGCCAGATGTTAAAAGACAGGGAATGAGTAAACAAAAATTGTTGTCTGCTCTATGGTCGGGTTGTTGTCTCTTTGACACATTCCCCATTTCCATTCTCAATTGTATCCTATGATTATAAAAGTATTTGAAAATATCGACAAATTCCACATAAATAACAGAGGCTGATTTAGATTTATAAAGCAAAAGTACCTGAACATGTCCATCAGAATCTAAAAACAACAAACAAACAAATAAACAAATTTCCAAAACATATGAAACAGTTAATTATTTGAAGCTATGAATGTATACAACAATAAGCGCTATTCCAGTTCCTTTGGTTTTGTCGATTTTGTGGTAATGATTAATAAATCATGTCTATATTTTACACTGTATTAATACAGTCGCCAGCTTATTATTATTATTACCTTTACAATGTAGGTGTGTATTCTTGTCTGGTACTAAATAAACAAATTATGATTCAGACGTTAACGTTTTTCGAAGCAACTTTGATCATAACTGTAATTGTTGAATACTTTTATGTCTGTTATTAAACATTATATATAGACCTCTCTCTAGAGTTCCATTAAGAATCAAGTTAAATATACCAAAGATGCAATACATATAAT